CCCTGGCCAAGGGCGCAGGCTCAGTGACCATGCAGGCCCTCATCAGGGGTTCTGTTTGGAGGCTGACCCAGGAGTGAAGGTCCGCCCTCTCTAGGGTAGACCTCCGTCTCGGCGTGCCTGCACGCCTCTGCTCAATGTAGCTTCTGGCGCGTTTCGCGTCTGTGCCCGCCCGCCCCGCGACGTGGAGTGCGACCCGAGAGCGTAGGTCCGCCCACGCTCTGATTCGATCTCCGCAGGCCTGAAGAGCAACGTCGGTCAGCCGTGGCCTTTGCCTAAGGACCTAGTTCCTTCTCAGGCGCGGCGCGCAGTTCTGCTGTGTCCCAGCATGCCTGACCGTGCAGCGTGGCCATGCCAGCTGCCGTGCGTGCTGAGTCGCTTCAACTGCTTGGTGCGGTCACCCGCTTGCCTCGGCTGAGGCTGTTGATTGCTCTCGGCACTCGGGCGATCTGCGCGTGCGTGCGTGCCGAGGCGCACGAGACCGAGCGTTGCCACCGCAGGGCCCAAGGGAAACGCCTCGGTCCGAGCGGCAGCACGAGCTAGGAGCTCCTGACCCCTCCAGGCGCGGGGACCATCATCATCCTCATCCTCAATTCCTTCTCTCCTTATTACTAAGTTTCCCCTGTCGCACCCCGACGCCAGTTTTTAGGGCGGGCCGGGCGTTTCGCCTGAGACTTCCTCCCCATGTATGACCCTGACGCTTTAAAGATGACAGCAATTTCACAAATGGAGGGCGGATGGCTTTCAAAATGTGGCTCTCGCTTCAGCGCCACGCATGTCCGTCAAACATTTCGCAAGAGTTTCACGGATTGAAGGCAGGTGGTGTTCAAAATGTGGCTCTCGCCTTAGCGCCACGCACATTCGTTTAACGAATTTGCAATATATATATATATACATAAACAAAAAATATGGATTGATGGCGTTTCCTTTTTCAAAATGTTGCTCTCGCCTTAGCGCCGCGCACACTGATTTGAAGTTCCACGAATTCCCATGATCAGCGTACCAAGCCTTACGTTTTCCCCACATGTTTCGTGGGGTTATGGTTTTCTTCCCTGCCGCGGCGCACCCGCGTCTCCTCACCTCCCCTCCTCCCTCTTCGTCCTCTCTTCACCCGCGCTCAACACAAGCACCAGAGCGGGTGTGCAGGGGGGTGCTCAGCTCAGCTCAACTCAGCACAGCACAGCACAGCACACCACGGCACAGCACAGCACAGCTCACCGCACAGCAGCACAGCACAGCACAGCACAGCATAGCACACAGGGCATTCCTTCGACGCCACCAGGGGGTGCGCTGGGGGTGGGGGCCCTATGCGTTGTAGGCTCCCAAGGCGTGGAAGGCGTGGCATTTCCTGGGCGGCACAGAGGGTGCGCTGGGGGTGGGGGGCCCACCGCGGTCTCTATACGTGCCAATGTCGCAGGGCCTAGCAGGAGTGGCATTTCCTCGACGCCACAGGGGGTGCGCTGGGGGTGGGGGCCCACCGCGGTCTCTATACGCGCCAATGTCGCAAGGCCTAGCAGGAGTGGCATGTCCTCGACGCCACAGGGGGTGCGCTGGGGGTGGGGGCCCACCGCGGTCTCTATACGCGCCAATGTCGCGGGCCTAGCAGGCGTGGCATTTCCTCGACGCCACAGGGGGTGCGCTGGGGGTGGGGGGCCACCGCGGTCTCTATACGCGCCAATGTCGCAGGGCCTAGCAGGCGTGGCTTTTCCTCGACGCCACAGGGGGTGCGCTGGGAGTGGGGGCCCTATGCGCTGCAGGCTCCCAGGGCGTGGCAGGCGTGGCATGTCCTCGACGCCGCAGGGGGTGCGCTGGGGGTGGGGGCCCTATGCGCTGTAGGCTCCCAGGGCGTGGCAGGCGTGGCATTTCCTCGACGCCACAAGGGGGTGCGCTGGGGGTGGGGGGCCTATGCGCTGCAGGCTCCCAGGGCGTGGCAGGCGTGGCATGTCGTCGACGCCACACGGGGTGCGCTGGGAGGCAGGAGGAGGAGGTACAGGAGGAGGAGGTGCAGGAGGAGGAGAAGGAGGAGGAGGACGGGGAGGTGGGGCAGCAGCAGCGGCAGCAGCAGCAGCAGCTGCAGCAGCAGACGCAGCTGCAGCAGCAGACGCAGCAGCGGCAGCAGAAGCAGCAGCAGCAGAAGCAGCAGCAGCAGGAGGACACCGAGGAGGAGAAGGAGGAGCAGCAGCAGAAGCACCGATGGTACACATGAGAATTAAAATAGGTATGTGGGGTTTCTCGGTAGCGTAATGTTACCACACACACAAACAACATATTCGGGGTGCTACAGTTACGTTGATTCGACGTGTTGTTCTGGCACGAGTCAAGGTCGTCAAGACGCAACAGTCAGGTTGATCCGTGGCGATTGAATCCCGAGAACATTGCTTTGGCATGCTTCAGGGTCTTCAAACAGTTGTCTTCCAACGAGGCAGTTCCCCCAGTGGAAATGAACCGTTGTAGGTGCCCATGAAGAGGGAGCTTGCAGGGAGGGTTCATTCCAACATCGTTGATGACTCTTGGGTTTCCTCTGGTCCCCATCCTCGTCCTCATCCTCATCCTCATCCTCTTCCTCGTTCACCACCACCTACACCTCGGCCTCCTCCTCCTGCTCCTCCTCCTCCGCATCCTCATCCTCCTCCTCCTCCCCATCCTCCTCATCCTCCTCCTCCTCCTCCTCCTCCTCCTCCTCCTCCTCCTCCTCATCCCCTCCTCTTCCCCTCCTCCCCCGCCTCCTCCCCCGCCTCCTCCTCCTCCCCCCACCGCCTCCTCCTCCTCCTGCTCCTCCTCCTCCTTCTCCTCCTCTCCCTCATCCCCTCCTCCTCCTCCTCCTCCTCCTCCTCCTCCTCCTCCTCCTCCTCCTCCTCCTCCTCCTCCTCCTCCTCTTCCCCCTCCTCATCCTCCTCCACAATATCACATTTTGAATCCGCCACCGTGCCGCTGGGCACGGAGAGGGAGTCTCGTCAGGTCCTTTGCCCAATTTCCTGAGCAGAAGTCCTCGATCATAGCGAGTCTGTAAGGGGCCCAGATCCCAAAATTCAGAATCTTCTTGGGCTTGTCGTCGAATCCCTGGGCTCCCCCGCGTTTTCCCGCATGACATGTCGGGCCCAAGAGGGCCCCAAGACGGGCCAAGATGGCCCCGCGAGGCCCCGAAGACGGTCCAAGAGGGCCTCGAATCGCCGAACTATCGCTCCAAGACGTCCACGATGGCCTCAAGACGGCCCTACAAGCCTCCGAAACGGCCCAAGAGTCCTCTTACGAGGGTCCCGAGAAGCAGAAATCTATGATTTTCCAATGCTTTGAAAGGTGTTGGCGTTCTCGCCTATTCTGCTTCCCGACGCTCCTAGACGGCCCACGAGGCCCCCAAGATCGCCCCAAGACGCCCAAGAGGCCCCTGGGAGAGCCCCAAGACGGTCCAAGAGGCGCCCAAGACGGCCCAAGAGGGCCCAAGAGGGCCCCTAGAGGGGGCCCAGATGGGGACCCCGAACGGACATCTCGAGCCCTCGGCCCCGAGGCGCCCCCAGGAGGCCCCAAGAGACACCCATGAGGCCCCCAAGAGGCGCCCAAGAGGCCCACAAGAGGCCCTCAAGAGGCCCGAAGAGGCCGCCCTCAAGAGGCCCCCCAAAAGGCACCCAAACTGCTCCCAAGAGGCCCCCGAGAGCGCGCCGAGGAGACCCGAAGAAGCATCCCTGAGACGCCTGACCCACAACCCAGGCAAGGTGGCGGAATGGACTGTCTGGAAGATGCTCGGGCCTTTCCGCCTACTTTTTTTACACCGGACTGCAAAGTTTGACTCGGACTTCAAACACCGATTTGTCCCCTGTTGCGTTTTACAGTATGATTGTGTTCGGTGTTTCAGAACTGCGTCCCCGCTGCAAAGTGGACCTAATTGTCGCATTGCCGCTGTGCTCCCGTCGCTCAGAATGGCGCTCTCGCACCAGCGCGGGCCACTTCTCTGGACCCGAGTGCTTTGTCGTCGTTGTCGCCCTGTCAGTTCTCTTCCTCCGACATCATGGTTCTCCTGCTCCTCCCGCTCCTTCCACTCCAGCTCCTGCTGCTGCTGCTCGTCCTCGTCCTCATCCTTCCTCGTCCTCTCCTCCTCATACCCTTGCTCATCCGCCACATCCTTCTCCTCCTCCTCCTCCTCCTCCTCCTCCTGCTCCTCCTCCTCATCCTCCTCATCATCATCTTCATCCTCATCCTCATCCTCATCTTCTCCTCCTCCTCCTCCTCCTCATCCTTCTCCTCCGCCTCCAGCGTACGCAACTCACTTTTTCTCCAATTGCGCGGTCCTCATTGGAGTTCCAGGTCCGCTATGACACGCGTCGGCGGGTAGAGCAAAAACAGCACAATGGGAAGGGATGGGTAGGAGGGGCAGGATGTCAGACATGGCGCGCGCGCACTTAGCTTGTCCTCCCCCCTCCCCTGCGCCTTACCGTCCTAAATCTCCTTCTCCCTCATACCCCCGCCCCCGCCCCCGCTCCTCTCCTCCCCCTCGTCTTCCTCCTCATCAGCCTCCTCCTCCTCCTCCTCCTCCTCCTCCTCTCCTCATCCGCATCCGCATCTCATCCTCATCCTCATCCGCATCTCATCATCTCATCCATCATCATCATCCATCATCATCATCATCATCATCATCATCATCATCATCATCATCATCATCATCATCATCATCATCATCATCATCATCATCATCATCGTCGTCACCATCATCATCATCACCACCATCATCATTATCATCATCATCATCATCATCATCATCATCATCATCATCAGCAGCATCAGCATCAGCATCAGCATCAGCATCAGCATCATCATCATCATCAGCAGCATCATCATCATCATCATCATCATCATCATCATCATCATCATCAACAGCAGCAGCAGCATCATCATCATCAGCAGCAGCATCATCATCAGCGTCAGCATCATCACCACCACCACCATCAACATCAACATCATCATCATGGTCATCAGCAGCAGCATCAGCATCATCATCATCGGATCGAGTCCTCTCCCCACTGCGCTGGTTGTAGCACGGGCACATCTGCTTCTCGAAGACCCCGGCTGGCCGACCCAGCGCCTCGCGGCAAAACGGAGCCGCTCATGACTTCAATAGGGCCGCCTAGTCCCGCATAGACGCTCCACCTTCCTACCCTATATTACCCATGCCTCTCTTGCTCCAAACTATTCCTCGTCCTTCTCCTCCTCTTCCTCCTCCTCCACCCTCCACCCTCCACCCTCCACCCTCCACCCTCCACCCTCCACCCTGCTCCTCCTCCTCCTCCTCCTCCTCCTCCTCCTCCTCCCCCTCCTCCTTCTCCATCGCCTCCTGCTGCTGGTGATGCTGCTCCTGCTCCTCGTCCTCCTCTTCCTCCTCCTCCTCCTCCTCCTCCTCCTCCACCTCGGCCTCCTCCTCCTGCTCCTCCTCCTCCTTCTCCTCCTCCTCCTTTTATTATTAATATTAGTACTATCAGTATTATTATTCTTATTATTATTGCTATTATTATTATTATTAGTATTAGTAGTATTATTATTATTAGTAGCATTCTCATTCTTATTATTATTATTAGCATTATTATTGTAATTATAATTATACGTATTATTATTATTATTATTATTATTACTATTGTTATTATTATTACTAGTACTACTATTATTACTAGTATTACTATTAGTATTAGTATTATTAATAATATTATTACCAGTAGTAGTATTAGTATTATTAGTATTAGTAGTAGTATCAGTAATAGTATTGATATTAGTAGTAGTAATAGTAATAGTATTAGTCGTATTCGCGTTAGTATTATTAATAGTACTATTGTTACTATTACTACTACTACTACTACTACTACTACTACTACTACTACGACTATTACTATTACTCGTACTATTATTATTACGAATAATATCACTATTACTATTACTATTACTATCACTATCACTATTACTATTACTATTACTACTACTATCACTATCACTATCACTATCACTATACCTATTACTATTACTAGTACTATTACTATTACTATTTCTATTACTATTACTATTACTATTACGATTACGATTACTATTACGATTACTATTACGATTACTATTACTATTGCTACTACTATTACTATTACTATTACTATTACTATTACTATTTCTATTACTATTACTATTACTATTACTATTACTATTACTATTACTATTACTATTACTAATACTATTACTATTACTATTACTATTACTATTACTAGTACTATTACTATTACTAGTACTAGTACTATTACTATCACTATTACTATTACTATGACTAGTACTATTCCTATTACTATTACTATTACTATTACTATTACTATTACTATGATGTTTAGCATTAGTATTAATAGTAGTATTATTAATTTGATTTTTCTAACTATTATTATTAGTAGTAGCATTCGCCTTATCATTATTCTTAGTATTATTCTTAGTCGTATTATCATTATTGTTAGTATTATTATTGCGATTTTTGTTATTCTTATGATTAGTATTATTCTCATGAGTATTCGTAGTATTCTTCTTATGCGTATTCTTAATATTATTCTTATTCGTCTTCTTCGTAATATTCTTATTCATATTAGTAGTAATATTATTCGTCTGTTTAGCATTCTTAGTATTCTTCTTATGCTTCTTATTATTATTCGTCGTATTCGTATTCTTCTTCCTAGTATTATTATCATTACCCGTATGAGTATTAGTATGATTCGTATTCTTCCTATGTTTCTTAGTATTCGCATTATTATTAATATTCTTCTTATTAGTATTATTCTTATTCGTTTTGGTAGTATTACTATTATCCGTATGATTATTAATAGTAGTATTATTCTTCTTATTTTTCTTCTTCATATTATTATTCTTCCGATTATTAGTATTAGTCTTCATATTCTTCTTATTATTACTAGTAATATTATTCTTATTATTATGATTATTAGTAATTATTAGTATTAGTCTTCTTCATTTTCTTCTTATAATAATTATTATTATTAATATTATTATTACTACTACTAATATTAGTATTATTATTATCGCCATTATTATTATTAATATTATTATTCATCTTCCTCCTCTTCCTCCTCTTCCTCCTCCTCCTCCTCCTCCTCCTCCTCCTCTTCCTCCTCCTCCTCCTCCTCCTTTTCCTCGTCCTCCTCCTCCTCCTCCTCCTCCTCCTCTCCTCCTCCTCTCTCCTCCTCCTCCTCCTCCTCCTCCTCCTCCTCCTCCTCCTCCTCCTCCTCCTCCTCCTCCTCCTCCTCCTCCTCCTCCTCCTCCTCCTCCTCCTCCTCCTCCTCCTCCTCCTCCCCCTCCTCCTCCTCCTCCTCCTCCTCCTCCTCCGTAGCCATTTTGGCTCATGCCTGTCCCCCGCTTTCCGCAGCCCTTTCGCCGATGTTCCGTGCCTCGGCGGCGGCGGCTCCGGAAGCTGGCACGACATGAGGATGGCTACGGGAGAGGCGGTCCTGCGCGGCGCGGCGGGCGCCCGTGCGGCGGCAGACCGCCTCGTGTCTCGGCTCAGCCGCGAGCTGGCCGAGGCAAAGCAGCGGTGCGCGGCCCTGGAAGCGGAGCTGGCGGCGCGTGCGGGCTCCGGATCCACGGTGGCCGCCGAGGTGGAGCGCCGTGAGGCGATTGCTCGACCGGCTTTGGTCGCACGACTTCAGGGTTGCAGCGTACCCCATGGAGCTCGCCTACGCAGGAACGTGGCGCTGCATTCGTTGGAGTGCCCGCCCGCCTCGGCGCCGCTGGCGAGCTGGCGGCGGGCGCAGCGCGGGCAGCGGCTCGGCTCGACGGACGTCGTCACTCAGCCGTCCCTTCGAGCTGACGCCCCGCCCTTCTGCCCTGGTTTGGGCCGCTGGGAGGTCCTCCCCCCGCCGACGGCGCTGGGCTGGCTCTGCACATGCGGCGCGACCCTCTTCGGCGACTCCGCCGAGGGCTCCCCTTCTTACCACGAAGACGGTCAAGATGATGGTATCGCCGAGCTTGCTGAGCGCGGTGACGTGCATCTTCACCGTCGTCTGGTTGATATTCCCCTCGACGTTCGTGCATCTTGCGTCCCTGATCCTGGTGTACGCCCTGGTCTTGTACGTGGTGCTGAGTGGTGGCAGGCCCGTCAAGCCATTGCCAACACATGGCTTGTCCAAGATGCAGGCGATGATCGAGGAGCAGCTGCGCCTCGTCGTGATTCCGAGCCCGCCGTGGAGATCGTCGGCGAGCTGAGGGGTGATCAGGCTGCAGCTGTTGCAGGATGGGAGTTCAGCACTGCAAGGGCGCGGCTCCTCCGCGACGCCGACGCCCTGAGATGTCCCACACCACGTTCTGCAGTCGCCACGGGGCCGCCCATCGACTGGAGCGCCATCGCGGCCCCCTCCGAGGCGGCCGTGGCCGCGCAGACAGCACCAGCGGAGGCGCCGGCCGATTGCAACCAGAGTTGAATAGTGATCTGCGCTACGGGAATGCGTCAGACGCCGCGGTGTGCTGGGAGATTGTTCGCCTTCGTCGACGCGTCCTCGTTGGCCTTCGCGGAGGCGGTCCTCTTCGAGCGCAGCGCGGTCGGGGGGTCCTGGGGTCCTCAGGTGGACTCCAGGCCCCCCGCGGTCCCAAAAATCGACTACGTCGAATCGCTCGCAGCTCGCAGCTCGCTCCTCCTCCTCCTCCTCCTCCTCCTCCTCCTCCTCCTCCTCCTCCTCCTCCTCCTCCTCCTCCTCCTCCTCCTCTCTCCTCCTCCTCCTCCTCCTCCTCCTCCTCCTCCTCCTCCTCCTCCTCCACCTCCTCCTCCTCCTCCTCCTCCTCCTCCTCCTCCTCCTCCTCCTCCTCCTCCTCCTCCTCCTCCTCCTCCTCCCCCACCCTCCATCCTGAGTTCGCCCGCGGGATGCGCGAGTAATCGTCAGTATGCTGGCGTGCTGGCGTTTGGCGCTCCATTTTCGCGCAGGCCACCAAGCGTTCCCCGCCCGGTATTGTGTGGACTCTTGCGCACCTCAGTCGAGGAAGCCGCGGAGCGAACAATAGATCTGATGGCCTGGGTTGGAAATGCTTGGGCTGATTATTTCGCCAAGCTGGCCTCCTCTCATGCAACGATTGCCAACACGTTGAAGGAGGCCATCGAATCCGAGTTAGCTTATCATCGCTCAACCCTGGACCCCATATTTTGGGTCGCTGCCCGCATCTGCCCGCATGATCCGCCAGAAGCGCTGCACTGAAAATTCGTCGCCGCTCGCTCCATGGTCACGAGTTTGCGCTGCATTCTGGGGCTGGGGAAGTTCGGTGCAAGCTGGGTTTCGTCGGGACCCGCACGGCTAGCACGCTCGCTCACATACGCAGGGAATCCCAGCAGGTATGTAAGCCGTTCGCTTGTCCAGGTGGAAAGCTCAGGCCTGGCTCCAGGCTGCTGGTGAGACCGCCCAGGATCTCAAAGCGGAGACTGTGAAAGCCGTCTACAAATTCGCTGATTCGCCCGAGCCTGCGCCTCTGAATCCCAGGGCCCCATTTTGTGAATCCTGGCGAGGCGGCCGTCCTGGAGGTCACGACTCGAGGCAACGTGATGGAGCATCTGATCGGGTTTGTATATTAGATGAACAAACGATGACGTAAACAATCTGAAGCAGCAGCGTGGAGTGGAGACTCCGCGCTACAATGTCCCGGCGGAAAACCTCGGGTGCCGCCCGGAGGCCGCGAGGAGGACACCCACCTCCACGCCCATATCCTCCTTGAGGTCCACCACCTCATCTTCACCCGTCCTCCACAACAAGCACCTGCTCGTGCACCTTCTCAAGCAGCACCACCCTGGCATCCCCCTCCCCATCGTCCTCCTCCTCCTCCTGGCCATCCTGGTCCTCCTCCTCCTCCTCGTCCTGCCGCTCCTCCTCCTCCTCATCCTCCTCCTCGTCCTGCTGTTCCTCCTCCTCCTCCTCCTCCTCCCTTACCTCCTCCTCCTCGTCCTCCTCCCCCTCCTCCTCCACATGCTCCTGCACCAGATCATGAATGAGACGCGGCAGGCTGCGTGAATATGACGGCGCCGATGCACCTACATCCGCGGGCAGCTTGCGCGCGGGTGAACGCGCAATCGATCCCCGGGGCATCGCCCCCCCAACTTCAAACTATGCGTTGCAACGGACCGCTGCTGTCAAAGCCTCGTCTCCCCCTCGGGGGCGGTTAACCCACCCATCCCGCTAGCAGACCGTGGAGGCCTTGGATAAGGAATCCAGGGTCTGGAGCCTGGTGGAGATCCACTTGCGTGGAACGGGGGGCGGGCAGAAGTTGTCCGCCCCCAATCATTGTGAGCTCTCTACCCTCCCTCCGTCTCCTCTCCCTCCCCCCATATTTCCTCCTCCCTCCCGCCTCCCTCCTCCCTCCCCCCTCCCTCCCACCTCCCTCCCACCCTTCCTCCGCCTCAGATCCCCTGGTGGAGGACGGCAGGTGAGCGGTGCGGTTGCGGTTGCGCGCCCACGGGCGGGTTGAAATGTGTCGCCCAGTTGCGGTTGCGGTTGCGCGACCGCGGGCGGGTCGAAATGTGTCGCCCAGTTGCGGTTGCGCGCCCGCGGGCGGGTTGAAATGTGTCGCCCAGTTGCAGTTGCGGCTGCGCGCCCGCGGGCGGGTTGAAATGTGTCGCCCAGTTTCGGTTGCGGTTGCGCGCCCGCGGGCGGGTTGAAATGTGTCGCCCAGGTGCGGTTGCGGCTGCGCGCCCGCGGGCAAGTCGAAATGTGTCGCCCAGTTGCGGTTGCGCGCCCGCGGGCGGGTCGAAATGTGTCGCCCAGTTGTGGTTGCGGTTGCGCGCCCGCGGGCGGGTCGAAATGTGTCGCCCAGTTGCGGTTGCGGTTCGCCCGCGGGCGGGTTGAAATGTGTCGGCCCAGTTGCGGTTGCGGTTGCGCGCCCGCGGGCGG